AGTGTGTATATAGGTGGATTCCCCCACCTATGTACATACATGCGAAAAAAAAACCAACTATGTTCACTTATAAATACGACGATGAGAGTACAAATGATCCAAAAGACAATTTCCACATACATTTTTTTAATACTGTTGTTACTACTCCACATACGTTTATTGACAATACAGTTTCATCTATAGAGGAAAGGCTTTCACTTGCTTAAAGAGCAGAGTGATGCGTTTAATTTTTTATATGACTTCAACAAACTAGCAGAAATTAGTAAATTAGACATATTAAAAAAGGAATGGATCTAAAATTAAAACTGACTAATGAAACTGATACAGTTAGTCCAAAATATATAAAAGCAATAGAACTTGCTGATGAACTAAATATAATCACAAAATTTCTCAAATTAAAATCCTTGCCAATTGAAATATTAGAATTGATATGTCAAAATAAACAATGTGTCATTCTGTAATATTACCATGATATTACAAATTTTATTAACTTTGCTTGTTACAGTAGCAAATGGAAAAAGATCATTATCAAAATTAAAATTATTAGAAACATGCTATGATCAACCATGTCGCAATAAAGATTAACAGATCTAGCAATGATATCAAGTGAAAGTGAAATCTGCAACAATATTGATTTAGTTTCTTTAAAAAAATTGAGAGTTTGAAAGTTCAAAAAGTACCTTTGTAACATCCTATACTATCGTATATTTCACATTGTACATAGACATTTATTAATTGAATCGGTGAGTGCAGAAACCACTTAAGTCCAGTTTATCAACTTTTCCAGGAGAGAGAAAAAACTTTTTTAATCCTCCATATTTTCAAATAAACAAATTTTTTCCGCAAAAATTACCTAGTTGCCTTACAAATTAAGCTTGTGAGAAATTAAAATTTAATTCAGACGTACTCTGTTTCTGCATTCAACTGGTTTTCAGAAACCGCTGAAAACTTGGAAAAAAAAGTTATCATATGTCAACTGTTTTTATTTATTCATAACCAAATACCAATATTTATAAATAACCATATACCAAAAATAAAGTAATGGTTGAAAAATCTTAATGAAAGAGGAATTTAAAAAAAGTATAAAGCTCTTATCTTTTTCAAACATTGTATCATCATGTGCAGTGGTTGGCCAGGTAAATAGTTCATCATAAAAAACTACAGTTTTCAGGAAAATGGACAATCATCTTCTTGATGTCTTCCATTTTTTTTTAAAATCGTTTATTAGAATGTTCCCTGATGAGTAGGCATGACTTGAAGGAAAAGCAATATTTACATTTCAGCAAATGATAGTGGGAATTATTCCTTTTTCTTTAGTTATGGTGGAATTCTTTATATCGAATGGAAGCAAACGAATTTTGCTTCTTTTTGCATGTTCTTCGCTCGACATTCTCTGGCTAAAGGGTTTGTTTATTAAAGTCTTTCCAACAACCATCAAATTTTTTTTATGTCAATAGCGAGTAGCTTGGTGATGTGAAAGTTGTTATTGGACTGAGCACACAACTCATCTTCATCAGGTATATAAATCCGATTATGTACATGAATCCTCCTCTTAATAGTCCCGAAATCTCAATCGTTGTGGATGCAATGAGAGCCCTTGAACAGGGTAATAATGAATAACTTGGACAAAACATCCCGTCTTTTGAACAACCAGTGCGCGACAGCCCTGAGTCTCGTTACAATTTATTTGCAATTACCTGGAAATCATAAAACAATCCGCGCAAATCCGCAAATATTAAACACTCTTCATTGATAGCTTCTGAGTTGAAAAATACACACTTTACTGGCTGTATTCGGACAGCTTGCTGATTCTATCAATGCACAATGCGTCACAACTCAATACAATGACTTTCTGATATCTTTGCATGGTCTTGAGCGAGGCACAAGGCAGGGACACGTGTGAATAGAAACCATGCCCGTACACCTTCCCACAGTAAGAGTCGGGAGAGGAACTTTCCCTACGGCCTACGCCTCGAGAGAAAGCGGCCCAAAGGTCGAATTCTACGCTGACAGCTGAAGCTCCTCTCCTTCAACATTCGACTGCCATGACTAAATCGCGTCACAGGGATAGATAATTTAAAACAAGTTTGCAGATGCATTCATTTCATTAAGAACATATCGTGTCTCTCTGCCAATTGCAATAAATTCACAGGAATTCCGTTTTATAAAGATTTTTTCCCCTGCAGGACTTTAAAAACCGTTTTGTTTTATTCTGTGTAAAATGCCATTTAACTTCACGGACCGGAGAAATTTTCCGGTTAAGGCAGGTATCAGGCTTGTACAGTTCCAGTGTAGGCAGATTTGACTGTAAATCATACTATAAATATATTACTGTAGTATATATAATTACAGTAATATATTTTACTACTGTAAATAACTTACTGCTCTAGTGGCTCAACGGCGAAGTCACTTGCCTTTCACCTGAAGTTCCGGGTTTGATTCCCGTAGAACCTCATGTGAAATTTGTTACGACAAAACGAAGTTGCTTGCTTCACCAAGTCCTGGTGGGCAAGTAACCTGTGCGGGTGCGGTTTGACGAGTCTCATCTACTGGGAGAAAGATGGAGATCTCCTACATCTTCGCACGAGTCGCGCTTGCATGTGCATAGCCTTGCGATTGCTTAGTAAATTTTATTAACATTTCATACTTGAGAAAATGTGCACTTCTATATTGTCACGAAATAACACTCGCCATCTGCATCACTGCATCATGCATCACTGCTCGCAAGCTACATTAAGAGTATTCTTGGAACAAAAGCTCTACTAAATAGGCGACCGGTAGGTGCTTCAAGCCGCTATTCGACCGGACATACACAACCGCTTCTCCAGACACGTCACGTAAGTCGATCGAGCCATTGCTGGTTCTCTTGGGGCCCATGTTGCTAATGAATTAGTTATTGATACCACATATAACTGTGCTGGTTGGTTATCGTGAATTCGAAATGCCGCCTGCCGGAAATCGAAGCAGTCTTCGTACTGCCGGCTCTGTGGCCATGGTTCAGCGATAAAACAGTGTGCTGTCTGAACATAAGGGGGGCAGCAGCCGATCTATGCCTCTGTGACGGAACAATGGCCCTGAGATCATACTTACCACAAAGGGGTGACAAAGACCTTTGAAAAAACGTTCATAACATAATCAGACTGAGCAAATCGTGTAAAGGAATGTAGTTTCATTAATATCTTTACAGGAACCGGGCCACACGCAAGGCCACGTGGCTGGTGTTAAATTCACCTCTTTTCATTACTCTAAATTAATGTTTTCAAATCATACATCTGTGTAATTTGTCTGTGCATAGGTTCCTTCCTTCGCCGATTAGACAATCAGGCAATCTAAATTAATCCAACGCGAGAGAGCTGTCAGGGTTAGAATACACAAAGCAGTATGTGACTGATCTCTGTTTATGGTCAGTAACTCAGTGTAGTGAAGTTATATTCTGAGAGGTAGTTGTGTTGCTCTCTCGTTAGATGGTGAGATCCGAAGCCGACCTACACGCCGACTTCCGGTCAATTTCCACCTCCAAGTTTCCCCCCCAGAGGGCACTCCCCCAGTCTGGACAAACTAAGCTCCCGACTTGGAGTGGAGTAATGGAGTGGATATAAGTGTGCAGCATCGTAGCTAGGGGCTGGGAAGGCAGGCGGCTACCAGGGGCACAACTCTCAGGAGTGGACGCACTTTGCAGACTCTCAGTGAACGGGCTACAGGCAAACAAAATTAAAACATGATGCTAACTCGCATAAAAAAATAGTGGTACCACTTTGTAATCCATCTGGCAACCAGAGGCCCTTGCCCTCTACAGGATTGTAACGGGCTATAACACCGCCACCACCACCAATAATAATAATAATAATAATAATAATAATAATAATAATAATAATAATAATAATAATTGTAGTTGTAGGAAGACGCCAACAAAATTTTAAATTTTTACAATTTTTAAAAGATTTGAGTTTTCAACGAACAGGAGACTTGCTCTATTCTCTTAAACGTCCTTCAGACTATCTAACAACAAAATTAATGAAAAGAGGTGAATTTAATGAAAACGGATGGAACCATTATTTTGAAAATCGAGAAATGTCCCTGGAGCTTTAGATAAAGTACTTCCCAAATTAAAATATTGGTTTCAAATTCAAGGGGCCGTGACATCAGCCAGATTGATAAGGGGAATATTAATTTTGGAGAAAACCCACTGAACTGTTTAGCCGCTAGTGTTGTTCAAAGACTGACATTTTGCCGTAGTTCAATTTTTTAGTATAAAGGACCCACAAAACATGGATTCTGGCTACACCATGTGTTAAAGGATTTTTTCTGAATCTAGCATCTGAATCTCTGGTTAGTTTTAAAAAAATACAAAGTTATGATGGTTGAAAATGTTTTCTTTAAATTTTTAATAACAAGGCCTATGTCGTATTTTCATTAACATCTCTGAAAATTGCAAAATCCCATCATTTATTTTTCTTTTTTTGAATGCATTATGGGGGCATTCAGAGCTCTTGGTGGTGTAAGAGATAAGGTATCTATTCCAGAGTCTTGGGCAAATATTTTAGTTCAACTAGCATTATATTATGTAACTGTTAAAAATAAAAGGAAACATTTGAGCTTTCATAGCACTACTGATTTTTGTAACAGCATGGGAGAGCAAATAACATTTGAAAGACTATTACACTTTATTCTTAAACATGGGGGGAGTCATTAGACCACAAAATATTTAAGATCAGTTATTACTTGATGTGGTTTGTTCAGGTGTAAAGTTTATTAGAATTCAAATATGAAAGTTAAAAGAGTTCCAGTACTTTGGAGCATAAAAATTGCCTTGAATATGGAACTTCATAATTTGCAATGCTATTAACTTAATGAAAGCTTACTGAAAGCTTAGCTTGCTGTTCTAATGTTAAGTGAAAGCTTATAATACATTTACGTAGAAATTTATGTAACAAAACGTTTATGTAGAACCATGCATATCTGTTGCAGCAATACTCAATGAAATGAGAAATGAAACTTACTTATCTGCTTCATCTTTACAGTTTGCTTGAAAATGATATATTTTTTTTGAATGATACATTTTGAACACTCTTTCTTTATCACTAAAAGATTCATTCTTCAATTCTGACCCCTGAAAACAAAAAATCATTTATGTTAAAATAATTCTAAAATCTGATTATATGGAATGTTAATAAATGCACATGTAAACCTGTACAAACACATTCACATGTTCACATAATCATTTTCTCTTTTTTAAAAGGCAATAGCAAACCACTCTTTGGAAGTGCCAACCAGACTTAAATCATTTAAGCCAAACAAATATTTTAGTGTCTGAAGCGAGACGGAAATCTTTTAGTTGTTTTTATTAAGGTAAGAAATGAAACACCACTTCTTTCATTCACAATGAAAAAAACATACTTCTACATGTTAGTTAATATTTACTTACCTTAACAACAGTGAACCCTGGCAATGGAGTAGCAGTTAGCGCTCTATTATCTGTATGTGAGCGGAAAGAATAAAGGACAAAATCGTCATGAAGTGAAAACCACCTTTGAGCCCATGTCTTGCTTGTTTTCAATAGCAAGTAGCCACTAAGCACAGAATTTGCATCAGCTGATACCTAAAAAAAAAATTTTTGTAGGAAAAACTTTCATACAAGTACAGAAAATTATACACAAATCTGCATACCTCCAAAACTCCTTTCTCTTTGCTATACAAAATATTAGTGCTTTCTGAACTTGGAGTAAAATTATCTGGACTTCTATCAGGACTTGTAGTGGCAGATCTCTGTGAAAGAACTTGATGGCAGTGGCGGCATACACGAGAAGCTTTGTTATCTTCAAATGGTAAAGGAAATCTCTGATTTGAACATTTCCCACACAAGACCTACAAAGAACACGTTTTGTGATGAAAGTACTAAGAAATAGAAAATTCAGTTTTATATATATATATATATATAAATAAAAATTAACAACTTACAATTCCACATGCTCGGCAATGATGCTTTCGTTTTATAACTCCAAAGCTTGTGGCACAATCCATACATTTTGTAACGCTTTCCATTTTGATGTAATTAGGAACTTTCTTTCCAAGTTCCATTTCTATAGAAGTTGAACTGTCGGCCCCTAACTTTAGTGAAGACTTCCTTTTGCACAATTCTTGAATAGCAAGAAATAGAGCATCTAACCATGCAGACTTCTCTTCCACAGTACTGAAATCAGAAAAAAGTTTATTGATGTAGAAATTAATAAAAATCTATTACATAGAATGTATTAGTAATAAAATATGTTGACGTAAGTTACTAACTGCTCTATTGCAAATCATTATTTACTTGATCTATGTACTTACTGTGTGTAAAGTTCAACATTTTTATGATTATCTCTGACATAAAAGGTGTTCTCCGTTTCTAGATTGTCACCCTCAACAATTTCAATGGTTTCCATATTGAACTTTGCTCTTAAACGATACACAGGTCCTAATATAACACTTTTCGATATTAAGCGAGATGAGCAAAGCAGAAGAATATCTGTAAACTGCAAAAGAATGACACTTGCATAATATTCCATCAGTATAATTTAATGTACAAATGCATATGCAATAAATTAGATACATCTAAACAATTACTTAAGTGTTCTGATTAACACAATATTCAACTTCTAAAAGTCAATATCAAAAACCCTGGTACGATAATAGTTGAGCAAATTAAATGGAACTTCAATGTGAGAGATTGGATCACATTGATATGGACCACAATTACTCACAAGAATATTATATACAGTGGGTGGCCAAATTATTATACTCAAGTGGTTTTTGAGGTCATTTTAATTTTTTCGCTGCTACATTCTCCGTCGGTACGCGCGGCGAGGATTACGGCCCGTTTTCCTGGTGGCGCTCC